TTTCCTTTCCTATCTGGAATTGTTCGCCACTGCTTGTTGAACTTCCACGAAGGAAGACAATTAATCCGTGCCCGGGCAAAAGTGTATAACCACTGGAGGATTTAATTCGAGAGGACGGAAACGGTAAACAATGATAAAAATTAATTCATTTTTTATTCGAAGGAGGAAAGTGAAGATATCGCGGAGAGGCGCGAGGTCAGATGTTCCTCCTTTATTCCCCGTTGCACGGTGTCTCGGTTTGCTTGCCGGCGTAACAGCTCGCTCAATTACCGTCGCAGATAATCATTATCACGGAAACTGCATCGCCGGGCCTCATTGCCCCAATCCTTAATTAACCGGCGGCCAGACGGTAATTGGTACGAGCCGGTGTACGACACTCGATCCATTGGCGAGAACGAAGGGCACGTGGTGAATAACGTGTATACGCTTAACCACACTCCGTTCGGCCCGCGTCTTTTTTCTCTCAACGACCGTTCGTAACGATCGCGCGTAAAGTAACGTAGATGACCGGATAAGAAATCGGTAGCTCCCGTCTCGTGCCTCGAATTTATATTATAATTTGTAATGACTGTTCACGGTTTCAACGAGCCTGTCCAGAGAACATTGCGAGGCCACTTCATTCTTTTACTCTGGCAATTCGGACGTCCCATCGATTTCTATTCATTAGGCAATATTTTCCACGGGATAAATCCGACGGTCCCCTTTCGCAAAAATGAAACGCTACCAGGGACGTTCAGAATGATCGTCGGACAGCTTAATTATTAGCTTGCTAACGTCCTCGATTGAATCGGGCAAAAAATAGTCTGCGCCGCGTATCTAGCGTAGGGGACCGATGGCATTCCTCTTCTAGCGCGATCCTCGCGCGATAAAACCGCAAGATGAATTTAATGCCGTAAAGTTGCACGTGCGTGGAACGCTCACGCGAACGAACGCTCGCGCGCACGCATGCTACGGTTAATTGTAATTTATGCCCGGAGACGACTCGGGCCCCGGCGTCTCGCGCGGTTGCTTCATTTATATCGTCCGCGCGTTTTTGTCTCCGCGGCGTTTGATTAATTTCGCGAAATAACCCGTTTAATTAATCGGCCGGCCGCGACTCGTAAAACACGCGGCCCGGGGGCCTCAGCTCGCGACTTCCTCCTCGGTGAAAAATCGATTACTCGGATCGAGTTAATGATCCCGTAATGATTCGATGCGTATGATTCTATGGGGATGAAAAATTCCGTGGCTCGCGCGCAGTAATCTACGTTTTATCACCGAGAAGAAATTGCTAAAGAGTTGCAGACTTATCGGACTTTGTTTCGCACGGATTTTTCACGCCCTGACTGAAATATTCGAGATAGAAGGAAACTGTATACGACCTTTTTTTGAAGGTAATAGTAGTACCTACAACTTTTATTTGAAGCATTTGACGAAATTCCGCGAAAAAAAAAATTTCGATTTTTCCGACATTTTTCCCTTCAGATTTTGTGAAATTTTCGTTTTTTGCCAATAACTTCCAAACCGTAGGATCTACGAGAAAATTGCATCAGATCTTTTTTGTAGAGGACCGACGAGATCTACAATTTGTGTCTAATTATTTCGCTAACGTTAATAGTTTACGAGATATTTGCAAGAAACGAAAAACAGTTTTTTGCAAATTACTCGTGAACTATTGATGCTAGCGAGAAACTGTTACACAGGGATTGTAGATCTCGTCGTCCTCTACAGAGTGGTTTTATATACGTCCCCCTAAGTCCATCCGTATCGAAGTTATTGGCAAAAAACAGAAAAACAGTTTTTTGCAAATAACTCGTTGACTATTGGCACTAGCGAATTCTTTTTGCACAGAAATTGTAGATCTCGTCGTCCCCTACAAAATGAGCCTAAATACGCCCCCCTACGTCCATCCGTTCGGGAGTTATTGAGGAAAAACGAAAATTGCAAAAATATTGCTGTACGTATCGGAGTCAAGCATGTTCGCAGCCGTGAACGCTAGATGGCGCCACGATGAACTTTTTAGCCAAGTACTTTCGCTTTTGACAACAAATTTCGTTTTTCGTCATTAACTCCCGAACGGATGGTCGTAGGGGGGCGTTCTTGGTCTCATTTTATAGGGGACGACAAGATCTACAATTTCTGTATAAACAGATTTCGCTAGTGTCAATAGTTAACGAGTTATTTGCAAAAAACGAAAAACAGTTTTTTGCAAATTACTCGTGAACTATTGATGCTAGCGAGAAACTGTTATACAGGGATTGTAGATCTCGTCGTCCTCTATAAAATGATCACATACACGACTCTCTAAGTCCATCCGTTTGGAAGTTATTGGCGAAAAACAGAAAAACAGTTTTTTGCAAATAACTCGTTACCCATTGGCACTAGCGAATTCTTTTTGCGCAGAAATTGTAGATCTCGACGTCCCCTACAAAGTGGTCCTACATACGCCCCCCTACGTCCATCCGTTCGGGAGGTATTCACGAAAAACCAAATTGATGTCAAAAGTTCGCTGAATTCGACGGGCGAATTTTGCCAATGCCAATAAAATGCCAATAACTCGTTAAAAGTCGCAGTTGGAAGCAAAAGAACGTTTGGTTAAAGCATTCTGATGACTAATACGTGTATTTCGCGAAAAAAAAACAATTTTTTTTTTTTTGACATTTTTCCAAAGGGGTTAGCCTTCAGATTTTTGCAAATTTCGTTTTTCCTCGATAACTCCCGAACGGATGGACGTAGGGGGGCATATTTTGAACCATTTTGTAGGGAACGACGAGATCTACAATTTCTGTGCAAAAAGAATTCGCTAGTGCCAATAGTCAACGAGTTATTTGCAAAAAAAGAAAAACAGGTTTTTGCAAATTACTCGTGAACTATTGATGCTAGCGAGAAACTGTTACACAGGGATTGTAGATCTCGTCGTCCTCTACAGAGTGGTTTTATATACGTCCCCCTAAGTCCATCCGTATCGAAGTTATTGGCAAAAAACAGAAAAACAGTTTTTTGCAAATAACTCGTTACCCATTGGCACTAGCGAATTCTTTTTGCGCAGAAATTGTAGATCTCGACGTCCCCTACAAAGTGGTCCTACATACGCCCCCCTACGTCCATCCGTTCGGGAGATATTCACGAAAAACCAAATTGATGTCAAAAGTTCGCTGAATTCGACGGGCGAATTTCGCCAATGCCAATAAAATGCCAATAACT